AGGAGGGAGAGCCGGACCTTGCGTGGGAAAGCCCACGGCCAGGCAAGCGGACATCTGCCTCAGAGGGTTCCGGGGCAAGGGGGGGCGGTGAGAGGTCAGGGTGAGAAACGAAGAGAGGGAGTTCAGAGGGAAGGAGTCGGTTTACGGAGGCCCAGGAAACGCGAGGTTCACTCACCCGCTGAGCGTGCCTTTAAACTCCTGGAAGGAAGGACAGCAGGAGACCCCATCAACATCAGATCACCTCAAGTGACCTTTGGGGAAACACGGCTTGCCCCGCCCTGCCTCCAAGAGAATAAGCAGGTGTGCCGTGCCTCCACAGACTGCGTGGGCACCGTGGGGCAGGGGCTCCCGGTGGCGGCTGGCGGTGGGGTCTCCTCCACACGGGGGGCCCTCGCCCTTACCACAGCTCTGCAAATGCCTCTTTATTACAGAATCAACCCCGGAGCTATCTGGTGGGCCCCAGGGTTGCCATTGCCCTGGAAACCCCCTGAGACAAGTCACTGGTGTGGGGACTTCTGCACCTGCGGTTGCTCAGACACGTGTGGCTTCTTTTGTTTTTGTTTGTTGTTTTTTAGTCAGGGTCTTCATCTGTCATCCTGGCTGGAATGCAGTGGCAAGATCACAGCTCACCACAGTCTCCAGCTCTTGGGCTCAGGTGACCCTTCTGCCTCAGCCTCCCGAGTAGCTGGGGACCACAGAGGGATGCCACTGTGCCCGGCTAATTTTTGGTAGGGATGGCATCTCACTGTGTTGCCTCGGCTGGTCTCCAACACTTGGGCTCATGCGGTCTTCCTACCTTGGCCTCCCAAAGTGCTGGGATTACAAGTGTGAGCCCCTGTGCCAGGCCTCGATCAGTGGGTTTTAAATCACCGTCCCTGACCCATTTGTGATCTGTGAAGTTTATTTAGTGGACTGTGACTTCTCAAAAAAGGAAATAGAATAGAAAAACATCAAAGTGCACTACGTGCAGCAAAGGTAAGTATCGCCTTCTGAGACTTTTGTGTCGAGTGTGTGTACACCGGAATTCGACCCGATAGCCGTTACTGTGGCCCGTGGTCAAGGAAGCCCTGTCGCATCCCTCTAGACCTTCAGCCCCAGGAGTATCAGGGCGCCTCCCTCCAGGCCCCGGGCTCCAGATCGGGTGACTGCTGAATTCCCAGGATGCGACTGGGCGCTGCAGCTGCCTCGGGAGAAGTGGCGGAAGCCCCGCCGGCCAGACTCGCCTGGAGAAGGTCGAGGTCCGGCTTCTGGGCCGTCTCCTGGATCTGGCCGCGGAGCCCGGAGAGCCGGGCGACCTCACTCCCCAGCTGGGCCAGGTTCTCGTGCTGCTTCCGCGTCACCTCCCGGGACAGCTCCTCCAGCCGGCCCAGCAGCCGGCCCTCCTGCTCCACCAGGAAGGCCCGCAGTGCCTGGAACTCCGCGCCCACCTGCTCGCGCTCGGCAGCCATCTGCTTCTGTCTCGGAGGAGGAGAGGTCGGAGGGGTGGGGGCGAGCACGGAGACGCCCCGGCCGCGCCCGGTCCCTCTCCCGCCCGCCCTGCTGGGGGAGCGCACGCCGGCCGCGCTCCCTGGCGCTTCCCTTCTC